AGGCTGAGGTGGGAGAATTGTTTGAACCTGGGAGGCGGAGGCTGCAGTGAGCCAACATAGGCCACTGCACTCTAGTCTAGGCAACAGGGCAAGACTCCATCTCAAAAAAACAAAAACAAACCAAAAAAATTTTCTGATATTTTGTAGTTTATGTTGGAGAAGACTTCAAAGGGATAATGAGCAAAAGGCATACAAATAACTTGTTATAAGGCACTTTATTAAAATAAAAGTGCTTACATCCCTTTAATGCATTAATCTATTTCCTGAATAACATGTGTAATATTTGACAAATACTGTATACCATCTGTCCCTTATAATAGGAAAACATATTATTTTAATGTTTGTTTGCTCCTCCCAATTTTTACTTTTACTCACCATGATATTGCCTGTAGTATAGATAACTGACCTTAAAAAAAAGGGGGAAGAGGAAATTTCTAGCTAGTGTTTTCTAACAGCAATTGCCAAATGCTACAGAAACCATAAAAGAAATTCAAAGAAACATCCCAGGTAACTTAAATTAACACCAGTTTTGAGAAAACCATTTTTATTATCATTACCACCCAGCTTATCTGTGCTGGATTATGAGCCAAATGGCCAGATCTTCTAAAGAACATCTACATAACATTTCTTTCATGTTTCAAGAGATGAAAATAACTGTACAAGGTTAAGTACAAAAGTACACAAGACAGCAGACACGAAAAAAATCCATGTATGAGATTTTATCCCCACCTGCAGCTTTTTATATTTGAAAAGTAGAATTCATGAACTAAAAAATATTGTCCTTCTATAGTCCTGTCAAGTTTAATGGAAGTGGGTTTAACCTGATTACAACACTAACACCAGTATCACTGATCTGATATTTACAAAAATTCGGATTTTTCAATAAATTAAAGTCAATGCAACACCCATGCAAGCTAGAATGCTAGCTGTTTGGTGAACAAGGACCTGACATCAGAACAAGAAGTCTATAAAGTCCCAAACTTTACAGGTGTGATCTTTTTCAAACTGCATCCATTCCTCGCATTGAAGATGTGAAACCCAAACCCATTCCTCTTTGTGTGTGGGTTTGTGATCTTGCCATTTCATACTGAGCATCTAGATTTCTAAATACTTCTTCCTGTTGCTTGAGAGTCTTGTAACTTTCTTCATCAACTGAGCTACAACCAGCTTCATCTTCACTCTAAAGATTAGATAGAAAGCATACAATGAATTCAGATAGAAATAAATATCTCTCACTTGACACTATTATTTTTTTTTGAGATGGAGTCTCACTCTGTCACCCAGGCTGGAGTGCAGTGGGGCCATCTCAGCTTACTGCAACCTCCACCTCCCAGGCTGAAGTGATTCTCCTGCCTCAGCCTCCTGAGCACCTGGGATTACAGAGGCCCACTACCACACCCAGCTAATTTTTTCATTTTTAGTAGAGACATGGTTTCATCATGTTGGTCAGACTGGTCTTGGACTCCTGACATCGTGATCCACCCGCCTCAGCCTCCCAAAGTGCTGGGATTACAGCCATGAGCCCCTGTGACTGGCCCTAATTTTTGTATTTTTAGCCACCATGCCTGGCTGACAGTTATTAAGTTATACTTCTGGCCAGGCATGGTGGCTCACGCCTGTAACAAGGCGGATCCCCTGAGATCAGGAGTGTGAGACCAACATGGTCAAAGTCTGTCATTACCAAAGAAAAAGAAGATACCAAAGAAAAAGAAAAAATTATCTGGGTATGGTGGTGGGCACCTGTAATTCCCAGCTACTTGGGAGGCTGAGGCAGGAGAATTGCTTTAACTCAGGAGGTGGAGGTTGCAGTGAGCCGAGATTGCACCATTGCACTCCAGCCTGGGCGAGAAGAGGGAAACTCCGTCTCAAAACAAAACAAAAATCATACTCTGGGGTACGTATTTGCTCTCAATTAATTTCCATTCATTATTAAGCACCTCTAAAGTGCAAGGTAATGTTCTTTCTAGGTCTGGAATACAGCAGGGTGTAATGAAAATTAACTTTAGTATGATGGAAAAATACCATATAACATGAAGAACATGTCAGGGTATAAATGCCACAGAGAAAAGTAAAGTAGAAAATGGGGATGGAGGCTGGGTGCAGTGGCTCAGTACTGTGATCCAGGGCTTTGAGAGGCTTAGGTGGAAGGACTACTTGAGCCTCAAAGTTTGAGGTGCAGTGAGCCATAATTGGATCACTGTACTCCAGCCTGAGTGACAGAACAGGACCCTTTGTCTCTCAAGAAAAAAAAAAAAAAAAAAAAAAAAAAAAAAGTGTGTGTGTGTGGGGAGAAGAGTGGGTAGGGGAGATGGGAGGGTTTTCAAAATGGGATTGCTTGTTATTTTACAAAAGGTGGTGGGAAACAGCCCAAAAAGGTATCACCTGAGCAAAGACCAGAAATAAGAAAATGAGGGAAGAATATGCAGGAGGGCTAAGAGCTAATGCAAACATCCTCTGGAACATTCGAAACTCACCTTAATACCCATCAATTTCCTAAATTTCACATTTTGGTCCTTGTTTCCAAAATTCAATTTTTCCCATATTTCAGCAGACTGGGATTTGTCCTGTTAAGAAATACTAAACTTTAAAATATGTCAAATTTAAATATATTTTTTAGGACATGAAATCTGTCAACAACGTAGCCTAAATTAAAAAAAAAACAAAGCATTTATGGCATTCAATCAATGTAAGTTTAATTATTTAAAGTCTTAAGAAAGAGTAAACAAAGAAATACAAGCAAGAGGCTGGGGTGTAGTGGCTCATGCCTATAATCCCAGCACTTTGGAAGGCAGAGGTGGGCGGATCACCCAAGGTCACGAATTCCAGACTAGCCTGGCTAACACGGTGAAACTTTCTGTCTCTATTAAAAATACCAAAAAATTAGCCTGGCATGGTAGCCCACGCCTGTAGACCCAGCTACTCGGGAGGCTGAAGCTGCAGTGAGCTGAGATCACGCCACTGCACTCCAGCTTGGGTGACAGCGAGACAATGTCTCAAAAATGATAAATAAAATAAAAAATGGATTCTTTTCCCATCATAGACCTTTTTTAACATGAAATTTTTGTGATGGCAAATAGTGTCATTTGCAATTAATGTCATTTGTCATTGCAAATAATGAAAAAAAAAAAGTAAGTACCTCATAATCTATGAAAAATCCTAAACCAAGTAGCCTCTTTTCTTTAATACTTCTATGATAATATCAGTTGTCCTTGAAAGCTTGACTTTGATCATGTATGTTTATTTCAATATTTAATAAACTGGCAAATTAGACTATCCAAGGTTTTTTTGAGACAGGGCCTCACTTCGTCACCCAGGTTGGAGGGTGCAGTGGCATGAATTTTTTTTTTTTTTTTTTTTTTTTGAGATAGAGTTTCACTCGAAACTCACTGCAACCTCCACCTCCCAGGTTCAAGGTATTCTCTAGTCTCAGCCTTCCAAGTAGCTGGGATTACAGGCGCCCGCCACCACGCCTTGCTCAGTGGCATGATCTTGGCTCACTGCAGCCTCTGCCTCCCAGACTCACTCAAACAATTCTCCTGTCTCAGCCTCCCAAACAGCTGGAATTACAGGTGCATATCACCACAACCAGCTTATTTTTAAATTTTCTTTTTAGTAGAGACAGAGTTTTGCCAAGTTGCCTAGGCTGGTCTCAACTCCTTATCTCAAGTGATCCACTTTGCACTGGCTTCCCGAAGTGCTGGGATTACAGGCATATATCACCCGTGCTTGGGCACCCCAGGTTCTTAAAAAGAAAGGTAAGCCCAAAGTAATCTTTTTCTTTTTTCTTTTGAGACAGAGTCTCGCACTGTCTCCCAGGCTGGAGTGCAATGCTGCGATCTTGGCTCACTGCAACCTGTGCCTCCCAGGTTCAAGTGATCCTCCTGATTCAGCCTCCCAAGTAGCTGGGATTACAGGCGCCTGCCACCATATCCAGCTAATTTTTTGTATTTTTAGTAGAGATGGGGTTTAACTATGCTGGCCAGGCTGTTTTTAAACTCCTCACCTTGTGATCCGCCCGCCTTGGCCTCCCAAAGTGGGATTACAGGCTTAAGTCAACGGCCAAGTAATCTTTTTCAATCCAAATTTGTTTTCCTTAGCAATTACTAATTAGGAATAAATGATAGAAGAGCAGAATAAGAGAACTTACCCCTTCTTTCTTGCCCTGCCAAAGCATTTTCCTTTTTTTCTCTTGTTCAGCAAATTTCATTGGATTTACAGCTGCTGGGTTATAGTAGCTAGGTACAGCGATTCCTGTCTCTGCCAAAGCTTTAGCTTGCAGGGCTGCCATCTGAGCTGCCATGGCTATCTGAGGTGTTACTTGTGTTCCTGATGCTAAGAGGGCAGCAACATTGAGAACAGAACCTCCAGTAGCTGCAGCTGCTTGAAGAGAATATAAAAATGGATTTTAAAACATAAGCAAACCCTCTGATTTACATTAATAAATGGCTTATTAAAAAAAAGCTACCAATGTGTAAAAAGGCAGGATTTTCACCAAATATAAGGAAATGACTATTAGCTCACAAGTGTTTAGCAAACACTTGTCAAGTGTGTTCATTAATGGACAAATTTCTGCATAAAATCCTTGATATATATGTGCAACCACACTCCAGCCTGGGCCACAGCCTGAGACTCTGTTTAAAATAAATAAATAAAAATTAAAATTAAATTGGCCAGGCACAGTGGCTCACACCTGTAATCCCAGCACTTTGGGAGGCCGAGGTGGGCCAATCATGAGGTCAAGAGATTGAGACCATCCTGGCTGACATGATGAAATCCTGTCTCTACTAAAAATACAAAAATTAGCTGGATGTGGTGGCACACGCCTGTGTGCAGTCCAGCTACTTGGGAGGCTAAGGCTACTTGGAGGCAGTGAGTCGAGATCATGCCACTCCACTACAGCCTGGACAACAGAATGAAACTCCATCTGAAAAACAAAACAAAACAAAACAAAAACCCTAAAAAACAAAAGACATCTGTAGTGACAACTACAGTGTTACATAAACAAAAATAATCATTACTAATTTATCAGCAAAAATTATCCAAATGCACCACACCAGAAACAAGCTACAAAACACTGAGGTGAGAAAACACTAAAATAAACTTTTCAGTGTACTAATGGGAAACAGAAATCACAGGTGATTTTCTTCCTATTTTTGTCAATTTTTCTACAAAAAGCAAGCCAAACTTCCTTAATAATGAGGGAAAAAAAATAGGCTGGCCGCAGTGGCTCATGCCTATAATCCCAGCACTCTGGGAGGGTGAGGCAGGAGGACTGCTTAAGCCTGAGATCAAGAATAGCCTGGGCAACAGGGCGAAAGGTCCTCACTACAAAAAATAAGAAAAAATTGGCCACGCGTGGTGGTGTGGCCTATAGTCTCAGCTACTCGGGAGGCTGAAGTGGGACGATCACTTGAGCCTGGGAGTTTGAGGCAAAGTGAGCTATGCTGGAGTCACTGAACTCAAGTCGGAATGACAGAGTGAATTCCTGTCTGAAAAACAAAACAAAAACAAACATGCAAGAATGCTAATCGGGATAACCAAAAAAGAATTAAAATTAAAAAAATAAAAAATTACCCGCAGCTATTTCTTGTTGTTTTTGTTTTTCAACCATTTCCTTTTCTCGCTGTTCTTGTAATTTCTTTGCCCTTTCCAACCTGCAAAAGTAATTTCAATACATTTAAAATAACACAATATAAAATATGTATCTCTTCTCTCTATACGCGTATGTACAGAGACAAGCCAATTTCCATAAAATTTTAAATATTTAACATCCCTCCTACAGCTGGTATCTGCAGGTGAAGAAAAAGCAATCATTCATAATGGTATAAATTACAGCTGAAGGATATTGCAAGAGTGGGTTTAAGCATTTTTGAATTGACTAGTCAGAAACAGGCATAGTTTTTATAGGCAGTTCCAATTAAAAAGTGAAGAAAAAATTCCATCTTGCAAGTAACACATTGAGAGCTGAGTAAATTTTAAGGCATGGTAACTAGTAAAGAAATTCATAGAATTATCAAAATGTTTCTTGAGGGAGATCAAGCCAAGATAAGGCAGCCAATCAAGACATTCGGTAACTTTTTATATTAAACAGACCTTAGTGTAGTCTTCAATTTAATAAAAATAAAAAAGCGAAAACCAGAAGGTCAAGCAAACCTTGCCATTCTCTGTGTAATCTATTAAATTGGGAGGAAAACTTGTCTATATTAGGAAATTATTTTTAGCAGTTGAGGAAATTTGTCATTTACAAAGGAACTGGTAACATGAAACAAATTCATTCCAAAACAAAATGAAAATTGTTCAGTCTAGTTAGTGTGCATATTCCTTAAATTCACTAATGAGCATGCACACCAAAGACACTGTCAAGTTTACTCTTCCTATACAGCAAGTAACAGTTAACAGTATCTTCACAATGAATTCCTTAAACTCTTAAACTTCATAAGGATTCTCCAATTTACCAATCAAGTCAAATGCCACTACCCCCTCTTTAATATGGTGTAAAGTGGCAAGGAATGAGAAAAACATTGTTTTTGTTTTGGGGCACTATGGGTAATATAATGGTAATACAGTGGTAGTAAATTGGATTTAAGAGTTGTTGAAATTGGCCAGGCGCCGTGGCTCTTGCCTGTAATCCCAGAACTTTGGGAGGCTGAGGTGGGTGATCGCCTGAGGTCAGGAGTTCAAATCCAGCCTGCCCAACATGGTGAAATCCCACCTCTACTAAACATAGAAAAAATTATCAGGGTGTGGTAGTGGACGCCTGTAATCCCAGCTACTTGTGAGGCTGAGGCAGGAGAATCACCTGAACCTAGGAGGCAGAGGCTGCACTAAACTGAGATCGCGCCACTGCACTCTAGCCTGGGCAACAAGAGTGAAACTCCATCTCAAAATAAATAAATAAATAAATAAAAATAGTTGAAATTTACACAAAAGTAATTTAACAAGCTATAATTTTTATTCTCTTTTATGAAATACATGCATGGAAGGCACAGCATAGACTTGATAATACTTGTATTATCTTTGATAATACAAGTTTGTGAATTAGTAGTAACAATAAAATTTAGGTAACAGGCTGGTTAAGGTGGCTCATGCCTGTAATCCCAGCACTTTGAGAGGCCAAGGCAAGAGGACTGCTTGAGGCCAGGGGTTCGAGATCAGCTTGGCCAACATGGCGAAATTCGTCTCTATGAAAACAAACCCGGGCATGGTGATGAGCATCGGTAATCTCAGCTTCTTGGGAGGCTAAGGCATGAGAACTGCTTGAACCCAGAAGGCAGAGGTTGTAGTGAGCTTATGCCACTGTACTCCAGTCTAGGTGACAGAGTGTTAGACTCTGCCTAAAAAATTTAAAAAATGAGGTCACTGATCTGAAAACTATTTCCTAAACAGTTTTAAAACCTGACATTTAAGACCAAAAAATAACAAACATAAAAGGTCTATAACATGGTAGCTTAACAAAAAAACCCTCCAGATTTCAAGGTAGTCAAGGAATAATCTGACATTCTGAAATTAAAGGACTGTATTTAAAACTTTATCTGAACGATCACCAAGCAGTCTAAGTCAAAGAATTTTTGGATGCTAGTATAACAGCTTCACTTTAAAAAAAAATCCAAAAACGAAAGCATAATAGACTTATGACATTCAAATAAATAACTTAAGGGCTTAAAAAATATGGCAGTTAATAAAATTATAATTTAGTATAAATTAAATCCTATTTTATAGCAAATTGTTTCCTAATCTACTGGTAATAGTTTCAGAAAGATGATGTGTGTGACTACAACTGGCTGCATTAAAATGGCCATTGAAGATTTGGAATTAACACCATTCACTAGGGTGAATGGAAAGAAGAGGTGAGCTCACGCTTTTGCTGCTGTTCAACTGCAGTTTCTGTCATGCTGGGTTCCCAGGGCAGCACCACCAGGTTACACTGTGATACCAGCCTGGGCAACACAGGGAGACCCCGTCTTCTCTACAAAAAATACAAAAATTAGCCAGGCATGCCTGTGGTCCCAGCTACTTGAGAGGCTGAGGTGGAAGAACTGCTTGGGCCCAGGAATTCAAGGATGCAGTGAGCTGTCATCGGGTGGCACTGCACTTCAGCTTGGGCAGGACCCTGTCTCAAAAAACAAAACAACTTAATTTTTTGTAAAGAGAGGAGAAAAAAAAAAGAGAGAAAATTCAAACCTAAAAAGATTGTTTTTCAAAATATTGGTAATGCGCAAACAAGTGCTTGTATTTTATTTTGCTTTTTGCCTTTCTATGAGACAGTTCTTTGAATAGTTTTGCAATTTCAATTATACAGCCCTCCTGTGTGTGGTTCCACCACTATCATCTTTGAAACAACAGAAAATTAATTAATTAATTAATTTATTTATTTATTTATTTATTTATTGAGACTGAGTCTCGCTCTATTGTCCAGGCGAGATCTCAGCTCACTGCAACCTCTGCCTCCTGGGTTCAAGCAATTCTTGTGCCTCAGCCTCCCGAGTAGCTTGCCTGTCACCACACTGAGCTAATTTTTTTATTTTTAGTAGAGACGGGATTTCACCATGTTAGCCAGGCTGGTCTCCAAACTCCTGACCCCAGGTGATCTGCCCACGTTGGCCTCCCAAAATGCTGGGATTACAGGCATGAGCCACCGCGCCCAGCTGAAACAGCAGGAAAAAAAAAAAGTTATTTTATAGTTATCAGGAATAAACTTACGAGATCAAATAAACTGGCTTATAATGTCTGTTATTTGCCATCTTCAAAATAATACTGACAGAATACTATTGTTTCAGATATTTGTCTATTTGAGGGAGAAAAACCAAAAGTAAAGGAAAAGTCATTTTAATGTGAAAATAATAGTTCTTTTGGTGACAACACAAAAAGAAGAAAAAAAAATAGTTCTTGAACCCGATTTGATAGTAAAAAAAAAAAAAAAAAATTCAAAGGCAAACTTAAAATATTTGGGAGTCTAAATTGAGAAAAATGAATTAATCACAAAGGGAAAAACAGAAATTGTTGTAGACGTCTCAATCTTTTAATTGTGCAAATATTTAAGATGAAAATTAAACTATTTACATAGCTCTAAATCACAAATATGCCAGCATATTTACTATTAGATTTAAGTATCTGAATCATTCTCTTACTGAAAGCATTCATCTCATCCACACAATTGAGCATCTATTTAAGGGTAAATAGGAACAAGTGAAGAAATACACACCTCCTAGCTAAAGCTTCTTGGGCATCCATTGCTGTGTTTCTGCCTCTGAAGGGAGGTGGACTTGGAGTCCGGCTTAAACTTCTGCTAAATCTTCTCGGCTTTTCAATTCTCTTCTTTCTATCACTGTAGTAAACCATATTTCACATGTCATATTATGGCCAAGTCATACTATTTTGTTAATAAGAAATCAACTACGTTTACAAAGTTCAACAAAAATTCCAATGATACAAAAACATTTATATTTTGAGATACAAACATTTAAACATCTGTGTTACAGCTGAACTCACTGGAAACAACAGTTGTTTGTTTCCAACTCCCTCATCCCCTTTTAAGAGACAGGGTCTCACTCTGTTGCTCAGGCTGGCCTTGAGTGATCCTCCTGCCTTAGCCTCCAGAGTACCTGGGTCTACAGGGATGCCCCACCACATCTGGTTGTCTCCAATCTTTTGCATAGTACATCCAATGCTGCAAAAGCCAGCGTTATACATTAGTCATTTTGTACTCATGTAGGTCAATATGTATATCATAGGAATTCTTCCTACATATTTTAATCTATAGTGAATTTGTAGATGGTTTTCAAAAATAGTTATCAACCACTAAAAAACTAGATGTGGGGCCGGGTGCAGTGGCTCACACCCGTAATCCCAGCACTTTACTAGGGTGAGGTGGGCGGATCACCTGAGGTCAGTAGTTTGAGACCAGCCTGGCCAACATGGTGAAACCCCACCTCAACAAAAACACAAAAATTAGCTAGGCATGATGGTGAGCGCCTGTAATCCCAGCTACTTGGAAGGCCGTTGCAAGAGAATTGCTTGAACCTGGGAGGGGGAGGTTGCAGTGGGCCAAGATCATGCCATTGCACTCCAGCCTGGGTGTCAGAGACTCCATCACAAACAAACAAAATGTCAGTGACCAAAACAGCCAAAAAAGCAAATAAAAAAATCTCTTAATTGGTAAGGTTTAAATTAGTAAACTACTACAAACTAGAACCACTGACTAAAAATGTGTATTTTAATCTTTTACACATTGACCTAAGTTGCAATAAATCAACAAAATAGTATACTATCTTATGTAAATAAGCAGAGAAAATCATTGAACAATATTTATAAAGTTTTCCTTCTGTGCTCTTTATTGTGTATTTCCCATCTCAACAAAGCCTCCTCTCAGCAATCAAGATAAATCTGAATTTTGTTCATTTACAAATAAAATCTGAGGTAGTCTGTACAGCACAGTAGGTTAAGCATATGAACGGAATTTGTATTTAGATGTACCTGAAACTGGGTCCTGGCTCTTGCACTTAATATGATCTTGGCTCATTGCAATCTCTGCCTTCTGGGCTCAAGCAATTCTCTCACCTCAGGCTCCCAAGTAGCTGGAATCACAGGTGTGTGCTACCGTGCCAATCTAATTTTTTTGTATCTTTTGTAGAGGTGTGGTTTCATCATATTGCTCAGGCTGGTTTTGAACTCCTGGGCTCAAGGGACCTGCCCGCCTCAGCAGGGTTACAGGCATAAACCACTACACCTAGCCAACATAGGCCTATTCACACCTGCACTCCCCAAGAGATTTATCAATCACATGAGAATACTTGTATTTTTATTCAAGTAATTAGGTCTGTTCAATTGTTAGATGATTAAAATAATTTTACCATAATCTATAAATTCTATTTATCATGCCATAGATTTACCATAATCTATAAATCCTATATAGATTATTTATTATAGATTTATAAATAAATCCTATTTATAGATTATGATAAAACATTACCTAACAAATCTAATATTCTCTTACTGAGAGAAGAGAAATGAACTCTCTGAGGGGCCCATTAAATTTTATAAAGATGATGGTCACCTACCGACTCCTACTCCGTGTCCTACTCCTGCTTCTAGTCCTATGCCTGTGTCTTGATCTTGAGCGAGATCGAGACCTGATCCGCCGTTTTCTTTCCCTGCTTCTGGATCTTGATTTCTTCCTCTCTCTGCTTCTGGATCGAGATTTCTTCCGCTCCCTACTCCTGGATCGAGATTTCTTCCGCTCCCTGCTTCTACTACGATGGCGTCTGAAATTAAAGTGCACAAATTTTAATTATTTAGAGTTGTTTCACTTATATGCATCATAAATTAGTTATCTGTAGTACTGCAATTAAGACAAGTAATTAAGTACATGATACTGTTTACAGAAAGAGTGAGGTTTTCAAAGGAAATATAAACTAAAAATGGACCTTCATGTTTGATAATCTGTCCCAGAGAATATAGTAAAGCTATTAACATGTCAAACATGTTCAATGTATCCTATCCAAATTTATGATTCTATTTAATACTCTTTCCACAGTATTTACAAAGCTTAAGTAAAATAGTATATCTACTGAAAATTTTTGAGTCTGATACCATGCACGAATTACCCACAGACTTCAAGAAAAAATCTACCAAACACCATTCATAAATTTGAGCTGTGATCCAGTTTCTCAAAAATCTTTTTATCTATATTCCAACATCAAAAAAGTCTAAATTGCAAAGTTTAGCAGAAAACACTTTCTATATCACATCGATAATGCAAAAAGACTGTTTACTGTCTTAAACTATACAGTTTAACGATATGATTTTTTTCAGTGCAAAAGAGATTAAGTGGTAAAAAAATCTCAGCTGGGTAGAGTGACTCACTTCTGAAATCCCGGCACTTTAGGAGGCCAAGGCGAGTACACTGCTTAAGCCCAGGAATTTGAAAACAGCCTGCACGACATGGACAAAATGTCTCTACAAAAAATACAAATAAATTAGCTGGGTGTGGTGGCGCATGTCTATGGTCAAAGCTATTCAGGAGGCTGAGGTGGAGCACTTGAGCCCTGGAGGCTGTGCAGTGCGCTGAGAGCACACCACTGCACTCTAGGGCAACACAGAGAAACCGTCTCAAAAAAGAAAATCTATGCTGGGCATGGTGGATCACTCGAGGTCAGGAGTTCGAGACTAGCCTGACAACATAGTGAAACCTTTTCTCTACTAAAAATACAAAAGTTAACCACACATGGTAGCACACGCCTGTAATCCCAGCTATTCGGGAGGCTGAGACTGGAAAACTGCTTGAACCCGGGAGGCAGAGATTGCAGTGAGCCAAAATCTCACCACTGCATTCCAGCCTGGGGGACAGACTGAGACTGTGTCTCAAAAAAAGAAGAAGAAGAAGAAAATCTAGCCATTAATTGAATATTAGTTATCCCTTATGTCCGATTCTCAGAAACCATTTTTTCATGGTAAGAAAACAAAGCCCAAAGCCAAACCACCCCCCACCCCAAACAAACAAGAAACACTCCCTATTTTTTTTGGGTATTGGTGGGTCAATGAGAAGCTTTATGTAACTTAAATCTTGTTATAAGGTATTAAATTATAATACAAAATGACTTACCTTTCACGAGACCTAGATCTTGAGTGACTTCTGCCTCTTGATGACTTTCTTTCTTTGCGTTTGTGCCTGTCCTCACCATTTTCAGATGAATTCAGTCGCTCTCTTCCTTTATCAGAAGGATGTTCTTTGTCATTATGTTCCTCAGACTTGTGTTTCTTAGAGGATTTATCTTTGGATTCATGTCTTCTTGCCTGTTTTAAGAAGAAGTTGGTTCTTTCAGGAAAATAGTGCAACAAAGAGAGTTAGTATGGGTATCAGTAGACAAAAATGTTGTGATGCAACATTAGTAACCTTAGGAGTGTGTGGCAAATAAAAAAAAGATCTAGTTTCACATCACCCAAATGTTGCAGATATAATTACTATTTTTTCTTTACTATAAAAACCCAAATGCAGTTCCTCCCAAACTATTTTCAATTACTACAATAGAAACAATGATTTTCAAAGTTGAAATATTGAAAAGCCATTATGCCAGACAAAAGAGGAATCCCTTAGGTTTATCTAAAATAATATAGACTATGTATATACATCAACTTCTAAATCCGGAGTACCTCATATTAAGTAAACAATAATGGAGATAATGACACAAAAAGTACACCAGAAATGCATTTCAATTAGGTAGCTAAGAATAATTATTATGAAGCACTAGTATTTTCAATAATTTCAAATTATTTTACACAGAGATGCAGTGTCCCTTTTATAGCTATACTGCCGGCTACATCCTCTAAAAGACAGCTCTTGATTTTCCTCCCAATGTCTACACTGTGAAGCAATCTCTTTTCATCTTGCAGTATCCCAATAGGCTTGGAGAAGTATTACATTTCATGTACCTAGGGTAGAAATGGCAACTGTATGTTTCAGTTTTAAAGAAACCAAATTAGGTATAACAATGAACCCATATGCTATCACACAATACATACTGCCCCCATACTTTAAAAAGATCAAGGTTTTCATATGTGCATTCAGAGACTCAGCTAAAATTAACTGCAAGATCAAATCTCATCCTACCGAATACCAAAGTAGGAAGTGGTACATACTATAGTTCCCTACACGAAGGTTTGTCAAATCCATCTTGCAGCAAAAGCTTAAAATACTAAACATCTCTGAATCGCTAAATTTTAAATGTGGAAGGAAACTCAGTTCCTCTAATTGAATCCCTTTATGTGTAACTAAACAAAGATCTAAAGTTACGAAGCTACATGCGTAAGCTGAACCTATACCCCATGTTTTTCTAACGCCCAGGCTACCACTTTTCCACCATAATAGGACATTTATGTTTCCCAAAATAGGTCACAGCATATTTGTTTCCACTCAAGATTAATGTTTCTTAAAAATAAAACTTGGCCAATCATTTTGGAACATGCATGATGATATAGCTGAAAATGATCATAGTATGTAATTTATTATTTGCAGAAAAGTAAGAGACCTGGAGACCCAAGTATTTAGTTTCACTGCCAGTTCTCTATACGAGCTTACAAAATAAATTGTCCTTGGTTTTGCTATAAAGAGGCAGACTGGAAAAGTCTTAAGTGGTTAAACTTCTAAAGGTTTTAGAGTTTATTTCAAACCAGTTTCTCAAACATAACATTACTATTAATTTAAAAAAAAAAAAAAAAAACATTAAAACCCTTAACTGATTTAAGATATATTTAAGGGAAATAGGAGTTTGAATGACTAATAGTTACCTTATCATGAAGTAGGCTTATTATTTTGCTATCTGAGTCTGCAGCGTCTTCAGTTCAGTCTCTTCGCGCATTAGCACGCTGAGTATGATTTATTATAGAAATGTTATCATGTGAGCTAAACAAAATAGTCATTTTCACAAAAACTCTCCTAAATTAAAAATTTAACAGAGCTTCCATTAGGGGAAGAGGTGAAGTCCCTGCCCACATTTTTTTTTAGGAGTCCCTTGCCCAGTCCCCACAAGACTCTTCTCCCTTTCCAGCTACTTCTACTCTTCCTTGTTGGCTCATTCCTTGTCTTCTTAGGTGGGTGAACAAGTAACTCCTCTGCAATACAGCTGTTGCTTTTCTTTTTCCTCAAGTTTTGCTGTCACCATCACCTTTTCAGCTGTCCCTCACTCAAATCTTTATTTCAAAATTTAATAGTACTATTATTAGGGAAACTGAACTAGTTTGTAAAAGAAAAGAGAACTCTTGTTACCTTTCATAAAGAAAAAGCAGCCCACAGATATCTAGGGTATTGCTACGTAAAGATGATTGCTGTTTAAAAATCCTGAGCAATTGTCAGGCACCAAGAGACTCGGGACCTCAGATTAATGGAAGCTCTGTGTGACAGGCCTAAAAAAACCAATTATATTCTTCACATGAAATTTTTATTGTGAATATTTTCACAATATAATAAACTTAAGGTTTTGAAGGTACTTTTCACATAAACATCTTCTTCAAAACTGATGAATCAAAATCATGCTCATTTTAGAATCCAATTAACCTTTTAAATTTCAAGTTTGGTACTTACCTTGGCAATGTCATATATTCATACAAATTTTTCTACCAGACACTTTTTAAGTATTTAAAAGTACCTATTCACTACAAAGTGTTAATTACCTCTTTGCTTCTGCTCCGGCTCCTGTGTTTTCTTCCTTCATTATCTGTGAATACACACAAAAATATTCACCATAAACAGAGCTGGAGAAACATCACATCCTGAAAAAACTCCAACGCTGGAGAAAAATTACTTGTTCTAATAACTAAATTTTTTAATGGTGGGGTGGGATCATTCTACATTAATACTACACATATGTAAAACAAATCAAGAAATCGGAGCAAACCAGGATATAAACCAGGCCAGATACATATTTTAAACAGTCATAGACCTTTAGTATTTTACATACATTCTGACAAGCCTATCTAGTTTCCTAATCTATAGTAAATTTATAAGGGGGTTTGGTAGGGAGAGGTAAGCCATTAAGAACAAAAAAAAAACTAAAGAAAATAGAGGCTGAGGCTGGACACGGTGGCGCATGCCTGTAATCCCAGCACTTTGGGAGGCCAAGAGATCGAGACCATCCTGGCCAACATGGTGAAACCCTGTCTCTACTAAACATACAAAAAATTAGCTGGGCATGGTGGTGCACACCTGTAGTCCCAGCTACTCAGGAGGCTGAGGCAGGAGAACTGCTTGAACCAGGGAGGTTTAAGTTGCAGTGAGCTGGGATCGCACCACTCTACTCCAGCCTGGTGACAGGGCAAGACACCGTGTCAAAAGAAAAAAAAAAAAAAAAAAAAAGAAGAAAGAAAAAAGAAAATAAACAGGTGAATTATATTTGGTATTTTCCAACATAGCTAAACTCTTTCTTTACTAAAAATAAAAAAATTAGCTGGGCATAGTGGCACATGCCTATAATCCCAGCTACTTGGGAGGTTGAGGCAGGAGAATCTCTTGAACCCAGGAGGTGGAGGTTGCAGTGAAACAAGATAATGTCAGAGCATTCCAGCATGGGCGACACACACTCCTTCTCAGGAAAAAAAAAAAAAAACAAACAAAAAAAAACCATTCAAAATATTACAATACTAAATGGTTTCAAATACACAGATGAAAATTGCATTCTGTAGGTTATCTGGAGGCACAAAGAATAACCGGAGTCCAGGCACTTCAACTTGTAAACTCAGAACTATTTTAATTTCTAAATCTCTTCATTCAACAGCAATGCTGACTTTAAAAACAGTGAAATACGGCCGAGGCGGGTGGATCACGAGGTGGGTGGATCACGAGGTCAAGAGATCGAGACCATCCTGGTCAACATGGTGAAACCCCGTCTCTACTAAAAATACAAAAAATCAGCTGGGCATAGTGGCGCATGCCTGTAATCCCAGTTACTCAGGAGACTGAGGCAGGAGAATTGCCTGAACCCAGGACGCGGAGGTTGCGGTGAGCCAAGATTGCACCATTGCACTCCAGCCTGGGTAACAAGAGTGAAACTCTGTCTCAAAAAAAAAAAAAACAAACAAAAAAACAACAAAAAAACAAACAGTGAAATACTGTCTTCCACATCACTTTCGCCTTTTTTAAAAAAAGGAAATATAGCCGGGTGTGGTGGCTCATGCCTGTAATCCCAGCACTTTGGGAGGCCGAGGGGGGGCGGATCATCTGAGGTCAGGAGTTCCGAGACCAGCCTGACTAATATGGTGAAACCCCATCTTAAAAAAAAAAAAAAAAAGGAAATATGGAGACTTCCCAAATGTCAAACCCCTTGCTTCAGAAAAATTCTACCATTAAGTTAAAAAGAAAAACAAGAATAAAAATGTTTTTGTAACTTACTTCAAAGAATAAATAAGTCCAGAATATACCAGCGTCCAGGTTACATCTCTGAAAACACTATTTTGCCAATGTTGAAAGAATAAAATTTAAACATCTTGGGGTTATTAAATACAATAACCCAAATTTAAATATGTATTCTTATCTTTCAACAGTTACAAAATTTCTGCATTAGGACATTTGTATTTCTTCTAATTGAAAAATTATCTAGAGAATTATCAATATATTTTCATTATATATTCCTCAGCTGGGGAGAACATTTATTCTTCAACAAACTAAATGTATGTCTTTTTTTTTTTTTTTGAGGCCAGAGTCTGTCAAATAGGCTGGAGTGCAGTGGTGCTATCCGGGTTCACAGCAAACTCCACCTCCACAGTTCAAGAGTTTCTCCTGCCTCAGCCTCTTGAGCAGCTGGGATCATAGGCATGCACCACCACGCCTGGCTTAATTTTTGTATTTTTAGTAGAGACGAGGTTTCACCATGTTGGCCAGGTTGATCTTGAGATCCTGGCCTCAGGTGATCCACCTGCCTTGGCTTCCCAAAGTGCTGGGATTATAGGCTTGTGTCGCCATGCCTGGCCAACAAACTAAATGAATGTTTTCTTATACAACAGGTCTATATGTTTTACACAAATGCTGATAGTTGTTGCAACCTCTAAGAATCATACCTGACTTTCGTTTTCTTTCTCTTGACCTTGATCGTGATCTTGAATAATGATGTTTTGAAGCTCTAGGAGAAACAGATACATCTGACTGCTCTTTTTTCTTATCTCTATCTGGTGATGTCTTTTCTGGGGCTAGTCCATCTCGTTCTGTATCACTAGCCTAAAAGTTTAAAGACAATGATTAAAGTTCTTAATTACATTTAAAATGTTTTCAATTCCTTAAAAGAAGAGGGACAAAGGGACGGAAGACAGCCCCCGTCTAATCAATAAATCAGAATGGCTGCTTTCCAAGTAACTAAATATGCTTTGTACACTAATAAGCCTGAATGACTTGAAATGATGAACCTGATACCAAAGCGAGACGTACATTAACTTTCTAACGATTATTTTTAGAACTTTTAAAAGGCAGTTAGGAATAAGGGCTCCAAGTATTTCAAATAAACATTGAAGCAGAGAAAATATAGTCCTTTTAGATGTGTGAACACATTCAGCTGTCCTTACCAATACTTTTCTCTTAGATTAGCATACATGTAAAATATTAAAAATGTGTTGTTAAAGCATAGATACTCAAGACCATAAAATCCTAAAAGAGACAATGCCTCAAGAATATTATAAAATAATAAACAGAAAATTAACTTACCTATGTGAGAACCCCATCTTAATTTCATTAACCCTCTTTAATGAAAACAGCCCCGTGGCACAGTGCTGCTGCCAAATATGGTCTGCCTTGCCTCACATGTGCTCTGGGCTATGAAAACATTGCTTCTGCTTTAAAGCATTTTATAAGTTAATTATTACAATATAAGTTTTACAAATCTCAACTAATGCGGAAGGTAGACAATGGCTGGTTATCTGACCAGAGAATATGAAAATAAAATCATTGATACATCTGAGGAATTGATTACTTAAGAAGAGTTGGCAAGCTAAGGTCCTCCTCTAGTTTCTGTATGGCCTTCAGCTAAGAATGGTTTTCACGTTTTAAATAGGGCCATTAAAAACAAGCAGGGCCAGCACTGTCGCTCACACCTATAATCCGAACACTCTGGAAGTGGAGCCAGGCAGATAACCTGAGATGAGGAGTTCAAGACCAGCCTAGCCAACAAGGGGAAACCCTGCCTCTACTAAAAATACAAAATTTAGCCAAGTGTGGTGGGGTATGTCTGTAAGCCCAGCTACTCAGGAGACTGAGGTGGGAGAATGGTTTGAGTCCAGGAGGCTGAGGTTAAAGTGAGTTAAGATTGCGCTACTGCCCCCTCCAGCCTGGGTGACAGAGACTCTTAGGGGAAAAAAAAAAAAAAAAAAAAAAAAAAAAAAAAACACCAAAAACCCCAAAACAAAACCAAAAAACCAACCAGCCAAACAAAAAACAAGCTAGCAAATAAAAGAATGTGTCAGAGACTGCACAAGGCCCACAAAGCCAAAAATATTTACCATCTGGCCCTTTACAGAAACAATTACGGACTTTTCACTTAGACCATCAGAAAGAATCTGGATTGAATAAATAAGGAATCAAGATACAGTCTTCAGCAGGAGGAATCACATAATGGAGAACTTCTTCCCTTAGGAAGATTAGTTCGGAAATATCAAGTACAATAAATGGGGGTATTGTATTTTAACAAAGCAGGTTGTGAGAGGTCGCATTACTTCAAGTATGTACTGAGGGTCAAAAATGTGCCAAAACCAATGCTAAGACTTAGGGAGTAAAGCGATAAATAAAACAGAAAGGATTTACAATTCAATTGTGCTGAAAGACATAAATTATGTGTTATTACTCTAACAATGGTATAAAAACAACAGTAAGAAATAAAGTAACTACCATGGAGGCTCTCATGCCAGCATACTGTATATGGACTTATTTCTCCAGTCTGGGTGACTTCTGGAACCATAAAATTTTTATGCTAAAGGTTTTCATCCCTTAGAATAGAGTTCAACTTTCCCATTTCCCTGATGAGACCCAGCAACAGTAGCTGACTCGCTTAAAATGATTCTCCATCTCTATCTCTTTGTTGTTTTTATTACTAATGATACTGTATCATTAAGGATGATTCTGATTTTTTCCACAATGAATACCAGACATTTTAATATATATTTTTCCTCATCATTATCCTTAAGGACTATTTCAGATTCATCCATTACTTGCTAAGTACAGCTCACACCTGGTAAACAGAAGTGATCTCAAAAATCACTTTCAGTGCATGACAATTTACTGTCAGAGATAGAATTCCTCCAAGTACTGGCAAATCCCATTTACTTTTGCAGAGAACAAGACTAGAAGTGAAAACAACCTTCGAATATAAAAGCTAGTGCTTAGCCTAGGCAGTAGCTGTCAGGCAATGGTTTATCTAACGTTATGCTTAACATCACAAAGCTGGGCAACAGAGAAACCACTGTGACACAGGCTAACTTAAACTTACATCAATCATTTTCATCTGTAAAATATGCTATGGAACAACAAAAACCACCTTAAACATGAATGATAGGTGGCCACTGAGGCCATGGAAAACTTTTATTTCCCTGAGGAAATCTTACAGCAGCATAGTGCAGGTATCCAGGAAAAAAAAAAAAAAAAAAAACGACTGAATATTAAAATTGCTCTGAAAATTTCTAAGCTTTAATTTAGTACAAATCTATGTGTATACGTTAAACGTTAACTGTAAAACAGCCTTCTATTCCAGCACTGGCTCTAAGAGGCAGCCACTTTAGTTTCCTACAAATTTATATTTTGTTGCAAACACCTAATAATGGCTCGAAACAAAGTAGACAAATCTTTTTCCACTACCAAGGAGGTAAGCACTGGATTGAATACTAGGCCACTTCTCCAGGGGATTGTCTTTTTATTTAACAAGGCACGGCAGAAGCAAATGCTTGAATTCACTTTTAAAAATACTGGAACCCGGGCAGGCGCAGTGGTTCACACCTGTAATTCCAGCACTTTGGGAAGTCGAGGCGGGTGAATCATCTGAGGTCAGGAGTTCGAGACCAACCTGGCCAATATGGTGAACCCCCGTCTCTACTAAAAACACAAAAAATTTCGCCGGGCGTGGTGGTGGGCGCCTGTAATCCCAGCTAATCGGGAGGCTGAGGCAGGATAATCGCTTGAACCCGGGAGACGGAGGCTGTGGTGAGCCGACATCGTGCCACAGCACTCCAGCCTGGGCAACAAGAGCAAAACTCTCCATCAAAAAACAAAAAAACCTGGAACCCAAGAAAAATAGTATTATTCTTTAGTATATACTGAGGCCCCAAACTCTATAAACAAATGAAAACAGTAAGTAAAAAAACTGGTCTAAACTCAATCAACTAAATATCTGGAGGTGAGTGGGGGCGGGAGGAAGAAAATCATTTGCCTAATTTCACACGTTCAAATTGTTGGGAAGAGCAAACTTTAAAATTTTCACTACGTTTAATAGTTATAATTATCATCAAGAATAAGGTATAATTTAGTCAGCAAGAAGAAATGCAAAATCTTTACATTTTCCTTTTAACAGAATAACTAGAAACGGAATAATCACATTGTAACGTGGATTCGTCAGAATTGGGCATCTTACACACGCGGCAGGCTTATTGTTCAAAGTAATCTACAAATTGTAGCTCGTATGGGGTCAAAAAGGTTTAAATTTAAAGGGACAAGGTCAGTGACAAGACTTAACTATAATGCTTCTCAGACTTCAAATTGATTACATCACGGACCACTTCAGAAACCGCTCATCAGTCAGAATTGGTAGTAGTTCCACAACATTTTAAGTTGAATTTTCACTCCCTTTTAACAATACCTTCCTCTAGCTCATTACTACACAATAAATTAGGGCTTACACTGGCAAACGCTAATTAAAATTATGCAACTAGAAGCATCTCATTGGAGCGTACCAAAAAAAAAAAAGCTACAAGTCTCTCTCTTCTTCTTCCATACTATCCCTTACAGACACCCCCTTTTTGACTCAATACTTTTCGGAGACCACTCCTGATCGTCTCTTTCCCAGCCCCTTTCTCCACCACCGCAAATTCTCAGGCCCTAAAATACTCAGTATAAATCACTGGCCAGGATGAATAAGCGAAAATGGAGAAAGTTCAGTGGGGCAAAAAGGGACGTAGCGTTGGAAAAGAGAAGAGGAAAGTTCTCGAAAAAAAAAGGCACTCCCTGCGGCTCCCCACCCCCATCGACAGCGCCTTACTTCCCCCTCCCTACAGCAGGCAGCCATGATGGCGGGCGCAGAAGAAGGCCGCGGCGCCATTTTGTCCACATACACACACAAGAATAAGGCTCTGGGAACTGTTCACTCACACTTTGGAAAGTAGCAGAAAAGTATCCCTGGCTTTAAACTCAGATTCGGTACCTACCGCCATAGTTCAGAGTCCCGGCCGCTAGAGCGGCGCCTACACTTGTCGCTTTCAACAGTACTGGCCGCTCCGAAGCTTCGCCTCAGACTAAATCGCAAGCGCGAGAGACCCGGATGGCACAAAGGCGAAGAAGCCCGGTGCGTCGCACAGCTTGCTGGGAGGAAACAGGGCGGTAACAAGAGTTTCCATAACAACGCATTTCGAAGCGGTGATTGGGTGTTTTTCAAAGGGGCGTGTAAGGACAGCAAAGAGGGCGGGGCGAAGAATACACCCTAGGAACGCGCAGTCGGGAGAACGAAATGGGCGGAGCTCAGGGTGGGGCAACGTCTTATTTCGAGTCTAAAGTAATCTTGGTCTCGTCCGGCCGCCGTAAAGGGGTTGGGTCTAATGTTCTGCCGCCAATTTTAACTTGTGGGATGAAACCCAAAGATTAGAGGCGGTTGCGTGAGTCTGGAAGAGGGACGAGATACTTAAGTGTTCCTCTTTAGTTTCTTCACTTGCAGGTAAGGACGGGGAGCTGCGCTGTGTACGGAACTGGGGGTGCGTTCAGGACGAAGTAGCTGCAGCCTCTGCTCAGTTCCTTTTGTTCTCCCCTTGACGCCGGCAGGAGAGGTTGGTGTCGGTTTTTGCTGGCGGCGATGTCCGGCGGAGAGCGTTTAAGTGTGGAGGCCAAACTGACAGTGTTTCATCTTGCTGATTCTCTCCTATTCGCGCATCTATTCTGCATTTCGCCGCCAGAGTGATCTGAAAATACGTATCAAATCAGGCCATTCGTTTGCTGGGTTCTCTCCCCGCCCCCAACCCCTTGCACTGAGAATAAAATTCAGTCTTGAAGTCGAGGTTTTATTGGGCTTCACTGATCTCTCCCTCACTGTTTCCTGCCCTTGCTTTGACCCGGCAGCAGCGTCAAACGCTTCCGAGCCTCTGAGCCTTTGCACTCTGTTTCCTTTGCCTACATCGCTTTCCGCCTGAGCTTTGCATACTTCTTGTTATTCAGGGCTCAGCTCAAATGTCACCTTCCCTTTCCAAACAAATCCTTCAGCGACCCCTCACCTTATCTATCTAAGCACTGTTTCCTTAAAATCATTTGCACTTTTTGTAATTGTGCATTTACTTTTTTTTTAGAGAGGTAGCATAACAATTCAGTTACCTACTATTTTATTTTTGTCCGTTTTTCCCGCAAGAACATAGACTTCATAATGGCAAAAAATTTTGTGCTTTGTTCACAGCTATATTCCCAGTTCCTGGAAAGGTGCCTGGCACATAATAAGTAGGTATTCAATAAACGTTTGTTGAATAAGTAAATTTGGCAGTTCTGGGCTGTTTCTCTATTTCACAGATGTGGGAAATTGAGATCCATAAAGGTATTGACTTCAAACTGTCCCTCCTTCGTTTCCTCTCTCTCACCCAAACACCAGCCATTAAAACTGTTTTCTATTCTCCAAACATGTTTTGTTTCTGTTCCCTTGTTTATGCCCTTAGGAAGAACTCTTCCAACATTTAAAAAACTATGACCTTCAATTCTCAGCCCACGTGTTACCTGCTTCCACCAATATCAAATTAGCTAACACTTAAAACTGAATGTTTGCCATGAACCAAGCATTATTCTGTGGACTTTTAAAACTCAAAACATTGGGAGGTTGAAGCAGGAGGAATGTTTGAGCCCAAGAGATCAGGGCCAGCCAGGGCAAAATAGTAAGACTCTCAAAAAATCAAAAGTAAAAAATAGAAAACTCTTTCAGTTGGGTACAACTGCCTTAGTCCCTTGGTATTGGTATCCATGGGAGATTGGTTCCAGGACCTCCCACAGATGCCAAAACCCTAGGATGCTTAAGTCCCTGTCAAAAAATGGCATATTATTTGAATGTAACCTTGCAACATCTGCCTGTATACTTCAAATCATCTCTAGATTACTTATCTTGCCTAACACGATGTAAATGTAATATGCCTGTAGGTGGAATCTAGGGATGTGGAACTTATGGATATGGAGGGCCAACTGTATAAATATATATATTTTTTCCAAGACGGAGTGCAGTGGGGCAATCTCAGTTTACTGCAACCTCTGCCTCCCGGGTTCAAGCCATTCTCCAGCTTCAGCCTCCCGAGTAGCTGAGATTATAGGTATGCACCATCAAGCCCGGCTAATTTTTTTCTATTTTTAGTAGAGAGGGGGTTTCGTCATGTTGGCCATGCTGGTCTTGAACTCCTGACCTCAGTTGATCTACCCACCTAAGCCTCCCAAAGTGCTGTGATTACATGTGTGAGCCACCATGCCCTACCTGTATATTCCTATTTTACAGATTAGAGAATTGAGGAACGGAAAGATTAAGTGCTTACCCAAGGGCAACTTCCTAGTCATTGTGAAAAAGCACCAAGTCAGAAATTGTTTCTTCCCTGTGCTATCCCTCTTATAGCTATTAAAACATACTTCTAGTAGCACTTATCAAACTAATTGTAATTATTTCATTATTGTTCCCCACCAGTCAAGGATTGTTTTTCTCCTTAGTGTTCTTTTCCCACTCAGACTCCAGATAAAATGATTTATATAAATCTTTGCTTGTTGAGATGGGTAAATGACCCTCCTAAGGTTTCAAGCTTAGTCTTTGGTCCAGAAACCTAATTATTTTTTTCCTTTCCCCTTACCATTTTTATTTATTGGATAAGAATACTATGATAGTATTAATGGACTTTTTCTGAACTTCATCTGAAATCTTATCCTGTGATATCTCAGACAATCTGGCATCTAAACCTACACTGTTTCCTGCTATATGGATTTAACTTTTATTTCAAATGAAAACTTAGTATAATTCCAAACTAGACACCAAAGTAATGGAAGCTCCAGGATGCATTGGTGAGATCAGAATTGTTGGTCTGTGTGTGTAAACCAATACGTTGTTCTCTGGTAATCATCATAGCTCTAGTTCCATTTATGTTATTGGCTCAGAGTGTTTAGTGGCCATAGCAGTAACAAGAAGACAAAGATGTCTGTGTATGTTAATGTTAGGCTTTGGTTTTTGTTTTGTGAGTAAGCTTTCTAATTTCCTGAGGAACTGAGTTCCATGCAACAAGATAATTTGGCGTCTAATTTTATGTTGTTACAGGAAAGACAGTGGTTCCTGACTCAGGAAGACAGTCTCAGAAACATGTGGAATGATATTGAGCTGCTAACAAATGATGATACCGGAAGTGGTTACCTAAGTGTTGGTTCAAGAAAAGAACACGGAACTGCTTTATATCAAGTAAATTTGCTAATGAAGATCTCTTCTGAAAAGGTATTGATTATTACAGTTTCATTCACATAAGTTTTACTGAGTGCTTAGTAGGCATAGTAGCCCACAGTAAATGTTTTGTGAATGAATGTAGCACTTGCTCAGGGAATCAAGATTCAGTCTCAGATTGCTAGAAATTCACATCGGAATACCCCCTGCATCATGTGAAGATCAGTATTTTCAAAACTCTTGATATTTCATGCGTACAAAATGTAAGTTGATACAAAGAATATCCACCACTTACTTGGGAAATAAAATGCTACCAATAGAGTTGAACGCTCTGAGATTCATCCCTAACTCTGTGTTCCTCCTGTTGCCTACCAGAGTCAAGCACCTGCTGAATATGAGGTT